TCTAATGGTCTAACAACTACGGCATGAACGACTATGAGTACACCCCCCCCCGTCCCGTCCCCCGCCCTAGTTTACTATTCGCCGGTGCCACGACGAGTGCTGGCCGTCCTCCATCGCCTGTTGCGCGCGATGTTTTCCGCCGGCCGCATGAGAGTGCTATTCCGAATGCCCTCCCTGATGTTCTCGCGAGTCTGAGAACAGGCCGCCGGGGGGCGTCTCGACGATGGTGGTGCTCAGCGGTTGCTCCTGATGGTTCCGTCCTCATTCAAGAACCGGGCAGTGGCAGGTGGCGGTTCAGAACGACAACTTAGGAGGTAGTTGTGAAACCGAGTGATAGCGTGCACAACGCTCGCGGAGTTGCGCAGAGGCACCTGCAGCGGGCTCCACAGAATGGGCCACTGCTTCATCTACAACATGTAGGGGGGAGGGCGGGGAGTGGGGGGGGCGTTCAGGTATGAAGTAATCCCGCGATTTCACAGCCACCTCTCTACTTTTTCAGGAAGGTTTGTGCTATATCTCCCGATATACTTCGTGAACTTTGTTCTCGTGCTAAAAATGAACTAACATGAGCCAGCTGAATCTGTCACCAATCGTGCATACCATTCGCGAACAGGCTCATGATCCCGTGATATGCCCACGAAATACCTACGCCAACACTACTCACCATGATCCCAAACGTCTGCTCGATGCATATGCGCCCTTGCGACTGGAAGAAGTTGAAGGCGTCTTGGTCTGCGTCGAGGTCGCATCCTGGGTACGGTACAAGCATCTTGTCCGTTGCCCCGTAAGCCGCATCTCTCACGACATAACAGTCGCCTGGAAGACCCTCGACAAGCTGGTCGAACTCGGCCTCCTTCTGTGCCTGCCGATCGTTGGTGCTTCCCGGGGTGTTGCAGCAGGCGGCAGTGACGATGTAGTCCGCGTCGCAGATCACCTGAGTTGGGAAACACACACATATACATACATATGCAACATATATATGCCGGGGGGGGGGCATCCGAGGAATCTTGTAACTTAGCTAACCAAATACGGGTATACCCGGTACAGTAATGACCATTTCTGGAAACAGCATTCTCTTTTCAAGTAAAAAATCCTACCGGGTACCCGGTTTTGGTCAGATATAACCGGGTTTATCCGACGGGAACCAAGTAGGCGGAATATCCGTTTCTGGTTTTCGTGGTACCCGTCCGTGGCTACTTTTGTACCCGTTTCTGGTGGCATGCATCACCCGTGTGCCTCCTCTCGAGCATGTTGCCGATTTCGTGAAGGCCGCGCACACTTCGGCATACGGCGGAATGCGGTCTCCTGCTGACCACCCGCGTAAATAATCTGACCGTGGCCCTATCCATATCCTACACCAAAAATACCCGCGTGATTTGGGCTTGTGGGAGGTGCTGCGTCACTGCCGGGAGCGTAGGAAAGTAGGTGGATACGCTCAAGATCGGCGACCCAAATCTTGTTATTTCGGCCCCGGGTATGCCCGTTTCTCGTTATTTCCGATCTTTGAAATGCTGAGAGCCGTGTGCAGTCTTTAACCCCAAGATTGGCCTCTCGGCAGCATTTCATTTTTCTTTCTCTTACGGCAGGTGCGCGGCTGTCCCACATCACTGCCGCCGCGGTCTCAAGAACAGGAGCGCATCAATATCTTTTTCTCATCCTCCACCCACGCTGTCCCCACAACTCAAAGTGCCGTGGTGCATACGGTAAGCGCGTGTACACTTCTGCTGGTTCTCGAACAGCAGTCCAAGTGAAAATCTACTTTCAAACAGGGTTCATCGTGCGCCCCTTCCCACAGAAGAGAGGGAGAGGCCGTTTTTTTTTCCATGTTCATCGATGTCCAACGTACTCTGTCTCCACGGAAGTGTGTGATGGCAGGGGCGGGTGTCATGGCGTGCTTGTGTTCCCCAATGGTGTACTGCAGCGGGCTAAGAAGGAGACGCGATTGTCTACACACTTCGATGCACCTAAACAGCACAACCCAAACAGCAGTATAGCCGTTATTTCGTACAGGGAGTCTGCTGTTGACTGGTGTAGCATGCTAGGTTCGAACCATGTAGTTGTCGCACCTGGTAGTTCATGCCCACTGTCGTCTTGTGCCCTGAAAAAAAACGATCTGAACACGGATGTTCGGTGATGCTAGGCTTCTTGCGTCGCACAAGGAGTCCATCCAATGCTCCCACACAGGGCTTCAGGACAGGGTCAAATTGGGAACTCCGAGCAGCGAACACCCGCACCTTCGCTTGCAGTCCACCCTCCGTTCTCGGCCACTTTATCCGAAGCCCCCCACAGTCGTTGATGGCATGCAGCCCTATGTTGATCTTCGCAAATGCTGTGCTCGTGGCCATGTGGGGACCATCAGCTGCAGCGCTGACGCCGTGCTCTGCGAGCCACCGCAACGTGCTAGCTAGCGCCCACTCCCCAGCTATGTTGCCGTTGTGGCCATGCCCTTTGGGACTGTGGCACTCAAGACGTCCGCGCAGCATCTCGTACAGCCCTTTGAACTCCTTCGGGCTCATGCGATACCGAGTCTTGAAGGACCCATCCTGCTCTAAAGGTTTGGTGAACTCCTCCCACTCCTGCCGGCTCCTTCTCACGCATGCTCCACGCCGAGTGTGGACGACTTGGAACGCACAAGCCAACGCTGCCGTCGCGGCGAGGCACTGGAGAGCAGCTACCGTCACGATTTGCACCCGTGTGTTGCGGCGAGCGACGGCGGTACGGCGTGCACCCACTCCAGTGCGAGGCCGTACCACCGTCATCGGGAGTAGTGGCCCTGCGTCTCGTCGTGTGCCTGGTTACGTGTGCAGCGGGCGGCAGCACCAGCTTCCGTGAACAACCGCACAATCGCAATGTGCGCCCGCAGTCTGTCGGATATTTCGCCGCGATTCCTTTGTTTTTTTTTTAAGCGGCGGCGGTATTTGCGTAAACCACGAAATCAACAACACAAGCGGCTTCGATGGTCAGTGGTGGAGGCGGGGCGGGCTGTGATGTTGTAGTCGGCTTGTCATTTGCGCGCATCAGGAGCGTCTCCGTCTTCTTCTCCGACACCGTTAGCCCGAACTCCCCGAACACCTCAACGATGATGGTCATCATTCTCGCCAGTCCTTCTGCAGACCTCGATACGACGCCGACATCATCGCATACAGCATCCCCCATACTGCCCTCCGTACTCGGTCAAGGGGTGTCTCCCCACCCCACCCCGCTTCCGTCTTCCCCTCCTCCAAGCACACCAGGCTCCGCGGAACAACATCATCCTCGCTGAATCGGATGACAACGACCGCGAGGACCTCGGCAAAGAAGATGTTGAACAGCAGTGGGGATAGCACACATCCTTGTCGCACGCCCTGTGTCACGAAGAACCAGTCCGATAGTTCTCCGTCGTCCATGCGCACCCGGGCCCGCATTCCATCGTGGAATTGGCGGATGACTTCGATCAGCTTCGCGGGAATCCCGGCCCTGGCCAGCACCTTCCATAGCATCTCTCGGTCCACCGAATCATACGCCTTCTTCAAGTCGACGAAGCACATGTAGAGGGGTATTTTCTTTCTCCGCCCCAGCTCCTGGAGGCGGCGCATGACGAACAGTGGAACGCCCGGGTCGAAATCCGCACTGTTACTCCGGGAGGATGTTGTTGGCTTCGCAGAAGAAGCTTGGACGGTTGGTGATGATCTTGATGGGGACCTTGCCTACGTGAGATTGTAGCGAAATCCCCCTGTAGTTGATACACTTGGACCGGTCACCCTTCTTGTACAGCACCTTGATGGTTGCATCCTTCCACTCTCGCGGAATATCTCCTCCGTTCCACACCTTGACGAGGATGGTGTAGAGGTGTCCCTGGACGAAGGGTTCGTCGTCATCAATCTTGAGCATCTCGGCAGGGAGGGAGTCATTGCCGGGTGCCTTCCAGTTCTTGAGGCCTTTCGTTGCCCGTGCTACCTCCTCGAGTTCTGGCACATCTCCCAACCGTTGTGTGTCACGTGTCGCTGGCCGCTGCGTCATTCGTTCGATGATGTCTGGGTTCAGGGTGGGGGATTTGGTGTTGAGAAGGGTGCTGAAGAATCTCGCCCACCGCTGGAGGATGTCGTCCCTGTTCCGGAGCAACACGCCGTTCTCGTCCGCGACGAACTGCTGTCCCCCCGCTTGTCTCCCGCTGAGGCTCACTGATCTCTTGAGGTGTTGGTAGAGTCCTCGCATGTCGCGATCTTCGTAGATTTCTTCGAGCTCAGTCACATATCCGTCCGGGTGGGTATAAATGCCCTTTTCGACTGCTGTAGTCACTCCCTCACACGCGGCTTTGAGAACCCTCCACGTCGCTGAGTTCCAGTTGCCCCTCATCGCCCGGCGCGCTTCCCGACGTTTGGTGAGGCCTGCTCCAGCGCTGCTCGCGTCTCTGGGGTCTCACACCCACTCCTGCGTGCGGCGTCTCCGCGGTTCCTCCCCCAGGGTCGTCCGCGCTGCGTCGATGAGAGCATTGGTAAAGTCGGTCGCCAATTCCGCGGCGGTGGTTTTTCGCTCGTCCAGTCGTGTGTCGAGGTCGAGGAGGAACCGATTAGTCACCGCACACCGTGCTGCTTCGAACTGCAATTCCCGTCGGTTGAATTGCTTCTGTTTCGGTTTAGTCCGGACTGCACGGTTGTGGGCAAGCCTGCCACCGAGGTTGACCGTGGCTACTACCATACTGTGGTCTGAGTCTGCTTTGACTGGGCGAACCGGCTGGGGGATGACGACCACGTTAGAAACTCGGCCGTGATGTGTTGATTGGCCCCAAGCCTAGTGCTGCTGGATGAGCACGGCTGACCCGGTTGACAAACGTGAAGAGATGGTTAAGACGTTTTATTGGTTGTCCTTAGACACAACCCACGGAAGCGAGTGAGCACAGGGTGCATCACAAACACCGAGGCACTCGTGCAACAGCCGCAAGAAATTCCCCGCAGAAAAGACGCATTCGGAACTCGGAACACGCGACAGCGGAACACGTGACAACTTGTCAAAGATATGATCGGAGATA